ATGATGTGTCCTATTATTAATGTGACATATGACAGTTAAGTAACAATTTTCTACTGTTAAGTAACGGACATGGTAGCTATTTTTTAACAGAAAAACCAACTTGGGGCGGGCTAAATTGCTAAATAAGAAGGACCAAATTAAGGGTTCATACAATAGATGAGAGATTAAATTGAAAAATTTTTTAATTTAGGGACCAAATCAAAAGTCCATATAGTAATTGAAGGACCAAATTGAAGATTTAACCTTTTATTTTTTGTTGTATTTTTCAAAGAGTTAGCGTGCAATGCAAGGAGAGCCCGTTGACTGAAAGCAGTCAAAAAAAATTAGTTGCCTAAGACCAGTCAAAAGAAATTAGCACCATATATCCTGCAGAAAAAATAGGAAGATTAGCCAATTAAATTCTTTGGCATAATGTCATTGTCCCTGAATCTAAATTTCCATTTATGTGGGTGTTTATTTTAGAATTAAAAAATAGTTCTTAATTGTTAGTTTTAATCAAATGAATTATATATTTTGAATTATAAATACCAATAATTATTAGTTGTTAAATATCGATTATTAGTTATCAATCGCATCAAAACAGTTAATCTAAACAATTCTTAAATTAATTAGCTTGTAAAATAAACTAAAAATTACTATCAATAATAGAAACACATAAATTCGAAATTCCAGAAAGAAAAAAAAAAAAAGGTTAAAGCTGAAAGATTTTCCACCATAATCACAACAAACATAGCAGGTATTGAAAATAATTACAAATTTTCAACACATTTTTAATGTATTATGACCAAAACCAGACTTGATGATGCTAAGCTTTGAGTTTTAGGGTTTGCAGAGGTAAGGGAAAAGGAAAGGTAAAGGAGAGAGAAAGTGAAAGAGGAAGAAGAGATGACGTGGATGGAAAAAAAAAGATATCAAAATTTTTAAATTAAATAAAAATGCCAACTCATAAAAAAAGATAGCCAACTGTGTTTTTTTTTTTTTTCCATGTCATTAGTCAAGCAAAAAAAAGAATTGATTTTGTGGCATTTTAACGTGCCACCTATCATTTAACTGACAGAAGGACCGTTTTGGTACTGAAAATTAAAATTTAAGGATAATTTTGGTACTTTTTAAAGTTAAAGGACAATTTTGGTGCTAAGGTGGAAAGTTGAGGGACCAAAATGGTACTTAAACCTTAATTATTTAATATTAAGTAGTGACAATTTACATTGTATAATTAAATAGTTACATCAATTAAACGATCGTTATCCATTGTCTACCATGCATCCACTATTTATTAGGTATTTCTAGTTGTACCAAACATACCCTTAATTTTTTTTATATGTTTTTAATTGTACGACATTAAGATTATAATTTATTTTCTATTTATATAGATGGACAGATTAAAAAGAAGAAGAAGAAGAAAGTAACCATCCTCATATCAAGGAATAACCTTTTTGGAAGCATCCTTGTTATTCTAAGTCATTATTAGACGAGCATCTATTTTTGAAACACAAACGAGAAGTTGTTTGACACCTTCATATCAAGGAATAATCTTTTTGGAAGCATCATTGTTATTCTAAGTCATTATTAGATGAGCATCTCTCTTTTT